GTGTTTTGAAATGGCAAACGAGTGACTTTATGTCAAATTCCTGTGGCTTAGAATACTGTGTGCAGTGTATTGCAAGATGTGTCACATTCAATTGCAAAATGGGCGCAAAAGAGAAAATATTTTGTTGTATATGTGAGATGAGAATGTCGGTCTCATTTTGGTGTGTTAGCAATTGTTTAAAACTGTAATAGGTCCAGTAGTATGTAAGCGATCAAGAAAAACTGTAAATCCTGCCTCATCAGTATAGATGTACTCATACTGGGTGTCACTGGCTTCAAGCTCAAAAACCCTCTTCAACAAAAGGAATCAGATAAAAGTACATTACACTGTACACACTGCACAGTAAAAGTGGAAAAGCTTAATGAAGACTAAATCACAACTGTATTGTACATTTTACTGCATCATGATGATCAGGGTACTATATACTGTATGATGTTGCATTGACTGTACCTGTACATATTGCTGATTCTGGTTTTTAGCTTGGTCTGGACTCTGTATATCTGCTTCATTTTCAACCTTTTATGACATAGGATGCAGTCAGTGGTTGGAATACTGGTTTGATGGAAACTATGACTAGACAACTATGACACCCTGACCATCATCCCTTCCTCTTCAGGCTCCTTGTCTATGTTCCATTTATATTTTGCTCAAAAAGAACCAGAGTAAGCACATGATCACATGTGGCCAATGATGGATTAGCAACTTCAGAGGCCCATAGGCTACACTTTCCCAGGGCCCCTCTCCTGCCCCCACTACCTAAAACGATACAACGACTAACTATAAAGCTCCGTATTAAATATTAGAAAATCATTTCTATAAATATTAGAAAATCATTTCTATAAAGTCAAAGAGAACGTGACACTGTATCAAACAAGGGCAGTCAGATCAGAAGATCAAAAACCAGCAAGCTTACCCTTTTACATCAGTCATATGCAGTAACCAGAAAGAGCACAACAGAAGAGACCTCACTGGATAAACAACTCTCAGTAGCAGTAACCTTAAAACATTACACTCGGATCCAGTGTGTGTGAACAGCATCCACAATGTGCGCTCAAGGTACATTTACTATAGATAGCATAGATCACAGATAACTTTACAGAGAGGGGCAAATTCCAAAAGAAAATAAAACAAGTTCTTGCCATTAAAAAGTTTTCTTCTATGCATTTTTGATAAAGATAGACTCCATGTAGCAGAAACAGACCATGATTATACATGCTATAAAATACGCAATCGTATAAAAAGAGATACATTTAGAATTGGTCTCCCCATTCAGTCTTAACTAATCACCAACTCACAATCAACTACATCACGAATAATGGATCACTTCTAAAAAATAATAAACTAGATGGCCAATAGGGGCCCCCAATCACTCCGGGCCCCTAGGCTACAGCCAAGGCAGGCCTATTCATTAATTTGCACTTGCACGTGTCTCCTGGAACTGTGTGCTCTGACATATCTTAAGTTATAACACCTGGGCCGGTATGCATGAAACTTCTCAGAGTAAAATTTCACTCTTAAATGCGTCACAATTCTAAGAGTGACGTGATTTTGCTCCTACTCCCAGACTTAAGAATAAGTGGCATGCATAAAAATTCTTAAGTGTTAAGACTTGGTCTCAGCTCCTAAATTATTTAAGAGAGCTGGAGAGGACTGCTAAGCCAGTTAGGAGTTGCTTGATGGCAGCTGCACTACGCGCACGAAGACGGAGATCGCGCACTTTCCGAGAAAGAAAGGACGTACTGCAGACGTACGACAATAATGAATTGATAAAAAGGTACAGGCTCGATCATGAGGGCCTTCTTTTTGTTACCAACCTAATTAGGAAACGGATACAATCTCCTACGTCACCTAAAAATGCGCTTACAGTTGAACTGAAGGTGATAATGATGCTACGTTTTTGGCAACTGGAAAAATATAATAATAATTATTATTATTATCTATTATAGCGAGGATCATAAGAACAATATAAGTAATGACACAAACCTGTAGCTTGCATGCTTGTTTTATAAACTGTGATTTCCTTTCGCGAGGTCGATAAAACATTATACCACCTTTTTTCACATTCCGCTGCTGAACGCGTTGCCCGAGGTGACGCAGCATTTACGGAGCTTGCAATAGCCTCCTAAGCTTTTTTTTTATCCGTGCTTGTAACAGCTGGGCCAAAATTTCCTCGCACTACCTCCTTCCATTTAAGCACCAACTGTGCCAAAAGAACCGTTTCGTTTGTCGTCCAGTTTGGTTTTCTTTTAGAATCCAATGTCTTGCTATGAGTTTTGCGTTTAACCCATACAGTAATTTATACAACAACAACAACGACAAATTTATTTTTGTATAGCGCATTATCACAACATTACATTGTCCCAAAGCGCTTTACAGCATCCCCACCCAAAGCCCCCAGTGAGTAAGCCATAGGCGACAGTGGCAAGGAAAAACTCCCCAGAAGGAAGAAACCTTGGGAGGGACCAGACTCAAAGGGGGACCCCATCCTCCAGGGGCCGGCAGGGAGAGTCAAATACAGTTAAATCTGAAACACAAATGGGGAGCAGGGGGGAGATGGCAAGCCGGTGCCACCGCTCCCTCCAATCGCCAGGCAGCCAGAAGGCAGGGAGCGTTTCATACAAGGAAGATGACACAGGCAGAATGGCGAGCTGGATGCACGGACGTCATTGGTAGTGGCGACGTCACATGTTGCAGGGAGTGCTGGACATCTTGATAGATTGAGGGCTCCAGGCAGCACCCCCCAGGAGAAGGTGGTGGAAATAAATGCAATTAGTCAAAGTAAGGGAGACTATAGGCAGTGCTAAAAGTTAGATGAGTGCAATATGAAGTGCAATGCACAACATGTGCATCTATTAGTAGAAATTGATTGGTGGTGTGCTAGGTAGATTTCCATACAACCAATTAAAGGTATGATCACAGAACCGTATGTTGTATAAAGCTGTACATTAACGGTTTAATGTCACTAATATATTCACCGTGCAGCTCCTCTATTGGTTGAACTCAGTATTTGGGGCGGGATTTTATGTGTAGTCCTCATTTCACGACACTTAAATGCTGGCTCCGTCAGCACTTAGGAATTGGGCTTAGACTTTGTTGAAAGTTACTTTTAGCAGCTTTATACAATGCTCTTAGGTTCGACTTTTTGGTAAGTATTTTTTTACTCTTAAGTCCAAGTGTACGACCATTCTTAAGACCATTCTTAGGAAGTTTTATGCATACCGGCCCTGATGTTTATTAATTTGGCGCTAATGTTTGCGGAATGAGTGGTATGACCTGTGGTTTAGCAATGCATATTACGTCTAATTGTTAGCTCAGATGGTGCAACCAATCTGTGATATGAATGAAATGATAGGAAAAGTGTTTATAATTCTGGGAATAGTGTCATAATTGTGCAAACGGAATTGAAGCACAGAGATATCTAGTTGAGTTTTTCAGCTCTGCTATTTAGGCAGCTGAGGAAAAACTGTACAAAGCCCTTTTAACAAGTAATGTAATAATATGCAAATTTTTGTTAGGACTCTTCTGTTTTGTTGATAATATTGTTTCTGTACAGTTCAGTTGACCATGCAAAAGGCTGCATCATTAGATCAGATGGAATCAAATTGTAGGACAGGCCCACCCTGGTGCAGTATAAAGGATTTGCAGGGTGGAGCAGGTGAGAGGGAAAAAAGTAGAACTCTGCATGGGGGAGGGGCGGGGGATGGGGTTGAGCTGGGGACAGATCTATTTCGAAATTGCAACCTTCATAAATATCAAACATAATGGGAGCACATTATATGATGCTAACAAATTGAAATGATCAAACTGCGTAAAATAGACAGGCACCACATATTGAATACATAAAACTGTTACAACTAGTAATATGGCAAAAGTTTATAGTAGAAAAGTTGTTCAGTTAATGCTTACATGCTTAGGGGCACCATGGAGAAATTTCTAGCTGCTTGCAGTGTTAAATACAATGTGATGGCAACACAACACCTAAAACAAGTAGAGACAGAAAATATGACCACATATCTGGAAATACCATTGTTTGTGTGTGTGTGTGTGTGTGTGTGTGTGTGTGTGTGTGGGTGGTTGGTTGGAGGGAGTGGAGGGGAGGATTAGGAGAAATATATCAGCCCTACAGGGGTCCTATCCAAAAAATGTATGAATACCACTGATTTGGACTGTATTATGGTTTAAGTCTCTGCTCCTGTTTTTAAATGTGCATAAGTTATGGTGAACTGATTCATAAGTGACAAGATTTCACTGCCTTATTTTTGAAGGTTTATGGGTATGATCATAACCTTTGATGGCCTTATGCATAGATCCCTCTGTACTCTGTGCAGTTGATGTTTATGAAATATTGCACTGCAGGATTCCTCAAAGAGATGGGAGCCAGTCTGCCTTTGTCAAACCGTGAAGCACAAAGTTGCAGATAATCATGGCTGGTGAAGAGGCGTGTGTTTAATCCGCACATTCATCTCACTGATTAGGGAGATAGCTAATCCGATTAGTCTACGATATCATTTTTCTACCTGATTAAAATCCTCTCCTGTAGCGATGGCCTCACCAATGAGTACATTTCCATCTGCCTCCTTTTGTTCCTAATTGATTAAACTCATCATATCCAAGTTCAGAAGCAGATAAACCTCGACTTTTTATAATGCCAGCTAAATCCTGATGCTTTATAAGTTTTGGAAGGGAAGGAAACTGCACAGTATGATATATGCTAATTAGTTGTAGTTTTATAAAGCAGATAAGAAACTTATTCTGGCAGTTGGAAGCATGCCTACATCGCCTGAACTTGTTTGCAAGCTTTTTATCGGAAAAATGTTTGTTGAGTACAGTGTCAGGGTGTTCCCCATGGCTCTGTCCTCGGTCCTATCCTTTTTCTGTAAAAATTAGATTCATGACTATTTAACATGACATGTTGATAGAGTTGCACCTCATTTACTGTTGTTATATACATCTGCCCATCATGATACAATCTGCAAAAATGCCTGTTTTTCCTTATGCAGGACCTCCAGTGAATGTCACCTGCAACATTTTTATCAACAGCTTTGGATCCATCACTGAAACGACGATGGTAAGACGCCCACGTGGGAGTGAGCTCTGAACCTCTGCTTTGCTTTTGACGTTTTTACTGCATCCAGATGGGTGCCATTAATTGGGGCAAAATCAGTGCATCTGTTAGCTACCAATTACAGGATCTGGGAGCCACCAGCTTTGCTCACCGCCGTGTTTCAGAGGGAAGACGCAAAGGCACATGCCTACGTCACCCGGGAAACATCTGGGTGGGAGAAAATGACGTCTACAAACTCATAGGAGAGACACTGTTTTCTTGGCTTCCTGCTCCGGTTAAATCATAAGCTGGCAAATCTCGAGTTGTGCCACAGTGGATTTTTAGGCCACTCTTCCATAGAACCAGCACAGCATGAGAACATTTGTCTTATTTGGAATATAGTGTCAGACTGGAATTATAAGCTCTCTCCAGTTTTGAGGCTTTTGCCCAGTGCTACCTTCCAGTTGGCCATGCACTCTCAATTTGTCATCAACACACCTGGCTCACCTTCCTCACAGTCACCCGAGCACAATGAAGGGCTTGCTCAGGATTAGCATATCAGGACCAAATGTGCTAGGCCATACCTCTTCTACATCTATTCTCTGGATCCCCTCCTTTGGAGCTGGTCACCATAGATATCTAATGAGATGAGCAACTGTGGTGACATGATGATAATTAACTGTCTGCTCTGCAATTAAATGGGGGGGAGTGTGGAAGGATAGAAAGAAATAATGCAGGGTGTCCTCCATGCGTTTGAAAGACCTTAGTCAGCACATAATGGCACTGAGTGGTGCAAGGGTTGCTGGGAAAGTGCTATTAGCACTCTGACAGGGCTGGAGTATACCTCAAGACAGCGTAAAAGTTATATAGTTATGCAGTACAGTCAGATGAGCAGTAATTAACACGTCACTCAAACCTTTGTTCCAAAATTTGGTTGTGGTTTGAAAAAGGTGCCCATCAGCTGCAGTAATTTTAGCTCCTTTGTTACATTTGAGTTTATTTTCATTCACTTCCCAGCTGGAGCAGAGCCTGGGGTCTTCCGTTGCTTGGGGTGGGGGTACTCCATTTTCTTCCCTCCATCCGCTGGCATGTGGTTGAGGTGGATTGTTATTGCTAAATGGCCCTTAGTGGGACTGACATCCCATTCAGAGTGTTCAACGCCTTGTGTCACATGCCCCCTGGCTCTCCGCCACCCTGCATTGAACAAGCGGTTCTGGGCTATAAGTGGGTATAAGTTCCAGCAAAAATGTCACCACTACCCAAAGCAGAGATTGAAGCAGAGATTTTTTTCTGAGGATTAATAACTTTAGGTTAGTTTTAGCTGTTGTGGTTTTCTGTTACCAGGCCAATGATGCAGAGAAGTTTGAATCTGCTATCAGATGCATACTGTACAGTAATGTTATTTTTACTGTGATGTATATAGGAATAGTCTGTATCTCACAGGTAGCGCTCTGCACTGCACTTTCTGATTATATGTTTGTTTTGAAGATGTGTAAAATTGCTACAGACCTGTAAGTCACTCTAAACGAAAGCAAGGGTGAATGTTCAGCAGTGACGCATGACCTCCAGTGTGTCCCCCACCTTTCATGACAAGCTCGTGCCGTCCACCATGTCGCAGGACTACCGGCTCAACGTGTTCCTGCGGCAGCAGTGGAACGACCCGCGGCTGGCTTACAGCGAGTACCCGGATGCCTCTCTGGACTTGGACCCCTCCATGTTGGACTCCATCTGGAAGCCCGACCTGTTTTTTGCCAACGAGAAGGGAGCCAATTTCCACGAGGTCACTACCGACAACAAGCTGTTGCGCATCTTCCAGAACGGGAACGTGCTGTATAGCATCAGGTACTCGGCACTCCGTGTACCGCCTGACATCACTTCCTGCTAGTCTTCACACCTAAACCGATAGGCTAGGTGACATGGCGTCCAATTTATTCTACAGCTGCATCATTTATTCTGAAAAGCTGCCACTTCTGCTTCGTTAACGAAGCCCGCTGGGCAGGTGGGATTCACGTGGTGAATGTTTTCGACACCATTCTCCAGAGGATCTCACTGTTCCTCCTGATGGTTATTCAGTCAAAAACTTTGAAATCTCTGGCCAGTGCCGCTTTTCCCGGAATTTGTGAGGAACATCGGAGCGTGACGCTGGTCAGTCGCGGCTGTAATCGGTGGGCACTTATATCCGTAATGGTGGTATTTTCTGACAGCCGTACTTTACCGCCGATAATTATACAGCTCTCTCTGCTTAATAATCCTGCCTCAGGCCCCCCACGCAGCACCCATGCCTCGCCTCCCCCCCCCCCCACCCCTGGCACTCTGAAAGCCCAACACTGAAGGACCACAATAAATAAGGCAGAATGTGTCTGGCAATTAGTCTGCTGTTACAGTAGTGCAGAGCACTCAGATAGGACTGTAACTCATGGCCTCTTTTCTAATACACTATCTTATCAGGGGGGTTGGTGGGGGCACTATTATCCTGTTCTCCTACTTGGAGGCTAGTGTGAAATGAAACATCTCGGTAATTTACAGTCAAACGTCCTCTCTCCCTTTCTGGCATTGTCCCCTGAGCCTGGGCTCTCTGCCTCTGTCCTTTTTCTTCTTCATTCGTCACTCTCTCTTGCTGTGTATTGTAATGCAATCCTCCTTCCTCTCTCTCTCTCTCTCTCTCTCTCTCCTCGGTACCCCCCCTTTCTTTCCCTCTGGCCATCTGACTCAGGCTGACTCTGATCCTGTCCTGTCCTATGGACTTGAAGAATTTCCCGATGGATATTCAGACCTGCACCATGCAGCTCGAGAGCTGTGAGTTGCTTCCTTCTCTGTCCATCCATCCCCCACCATCTCCCAATCACCATTCTGCTGGTTTGCAACAAAGTCTGTTGTCATTCACTGGCAGGCAGTAAAAATAATGTTAAATATCCAGGGGATCCTTGTGACTTGGACAGGTTTAGCAGAACTGGCTTTGGGGTAAAGTGCGTTGAGACAATGTAATGCTGTGAAAATGCACAATACAAAAATAAATTGAATTGAATTGAAAAGCTGAAATCTCATCCCCATACCTAGTAAAGGTCATTATAAATGCAGCATGTGTAACTGAACTACAGGCACAGGGAGGGGGCATGGATCACAAACCACAGTAAAACGCTCCACGTAACGTATGCGTCTATTTTAGTGTGAGAATCAGTCAGGAGAACAGGAATAAATGAGCAGTATTCCCGGCTCTGCACTCAGCCGTTTCCTGATTCCAGCTCTCAAGGCATCTCTGCTTTCCAAAACAATTTCCAGCATATCAATAATGAAACTTTCATTTTGTGCTCCTTTTATTACCCCCCTGCCCCCCCCCCTGCCCCCGCCCCAGCCTCCCCGTCTTCATTGAGGCAGAGCGGGCCACCCTCCGTCTCCGAACAGCAGCTGTTTTCCGGAGCTCCAGGCTCACAGACCCCATTGTGCCTTCTCTCTGATTGGCTGGCCCATCCCCCAGGCTCATAGACCCCATTGTGCCTTCTCTCTGATTGGCTGGCCCATCCCCCAGGCTCATAGACCCCATTGTGCCTCTCTCTGATTGGCTTGCCCGTCCCCCAGTAACTGTTTACATTCAGAATGAGACATCTTCATGCAGGACGCGGGGAGCTGTGATTTATTTTGCCCACTCCTTGAAGGCAAATAAATTCAGGAGAAAAAGCGTTAAATGTATGTGGAAATTATGGGTGACATTGTGTGGCTTGGCAGCTTAGGATGCTGTCCCTGTGATCAGGTGGTTGCTGGTACAAATCCTGGGGTCAGCAGAGTGACTTCATCATTAGGCTGTTGAGCTAGGGCCTGAATCCCATTTATCAGCATTGTATCAGTATGTATCCAAACACACCTTCCTGCTCCTTGCTGAACAAGGATGCTGTGATTCAGTTCCAGTTGGCTACTGTCACTCCTCACCACACCTGGTGAGGGACATCAGTGTGCAATAGAGCTGACCCTCCGCTTGCAGAGCCTATTACCAGCCTGTAATTACTCCTGATTACTCAAAGTGCTCTGCTGTGACCCAGGAGGTAACGTGTCTGAAGGCTCTGTAAGGTTGAGGTCACCTTGTCAGGCCCAACCGCACAGTCAGGTGTTTGGGAACAATACATCCCCCCTCTCATCCTGTCAAGTGAAGTGAAAGATTCTTTACTTGTTCATCAGATGTTCCAGATCGACGGAACAGTGTCTCCAAGTAACAGTAGAGTCTGTGCACCAGGTTTTGTTAACGTAGGTATACAAACCTCTGCTTCTAGCTCTACCAGTGTCCTTAGCTGTTCTGTCAGCTCTGAAGGCACGGAGTCCCTGCAGCTTAATGACATTGTCTGGTACATTATTGTATAGTCATGTTTCTGAAAAAATCGTGATGTTGCATTTCATAAACCTTTTCTCAGTAATCTGGAGTAGAAGCTTGTCCATTTTGTGTACCAGAGCCCATGTGTTAGCAAGATAGATGCTTGTTAGAGATAACCAATGGGGGGTAAGGCCTCCCCATCTCCCCTGCCTCTGCCTCTGGTGTCGGAAGAGCTGTTACAAAAGACCACATTATCCTGGGAACATCTGGAGCAGTATTTTTTGGGTTAAGGGTATTCTTCTAGGGCTCAACAGTGACATGGCGGGATTCAAACCAGCGACCTTGTGGCACAGGCTCCTATCCTGCAGAGCCACCCACTGCCTGCATCATAAACATTCTGATGCGATCAGATTTACGAGTCCATGACCCTTTGAAGGTCGCCGAAGTTCTTTCAGGTATGATGTCTGGGAACTATATTCACATCAACCTGTACCAGAGCCAATGAGAGTTTTGCAAATTTTAAACTGCAAATCTCATCACCAGCAGGAGGACTTGGGCTCTTAATCTGTATTTCTGTGCTTTTCGGAGCCTTATCTGCATCAAAGTTTATCAGCTAAAACTGACCCAGAAAAACAGCAGCTGTATTACTGCACCACGTATTTGCCCAAAAAACGGGCTGTTGTCATTAGCTAATGCTCTTCACAATGAGTCAAATCACCTTTTGCCAAACCTTTAATACGCCAAGATCCCATTGGCTTCGTGACTCGCGAAACAAACATTTTTTGAGGTCACGTGAAGTAATTTATTTGGTCCTTTGAAAGGGGAGCTTTGAGGAGCAAAACATACTCATTTTTTGCGGGTTTTGTTGTTCTCTGTCTGCTAGTTGGTGAGGGGGGGGCAGCAGAGGGGCACGGATGTCCTGAATAATTGATGTCTTTGGAACGTGGAGCCCCCAGAGACTGGGGGAGACATCAGTATTATTCAAATGTGTCAAGCATCCAACGGCGTTATAGCATGCTTTATGCATTTTTAATGGACCCGGCATTTATTTTTATTTGCCCCGCGCTTGGAGAGCATGAGGAGCAGGAGACGCTCGGTGGCGGCGCGCTGAACGCAGTTAGCATGTCGGGGTCAGCACTCTGTAACACCGGCAGCTGTCCGTTTCCGGATCCCACAGCGACGTGGTGCGTTTGCCCCTGTACCCCCCCCACCCCAAACATCTGTGACCACAGAGCAGCTGAGCCTGGAGACCTATCCCTCGTGTGAACATCCATATATCCCCCCATCTGTGACATGTTATGCTGAGAGCTTTGTGAGACTCGCACATCCACGGCTGTTTTGAGTGATGGACGTACCTGTTTTTCTCTCCTACCTCCCCTCTTCTCTCCCTTCTTTTTTCAGTTGGCTACACCATGAATGACCTCATCTTTGAGTGGCTGGATGTTGCACCCGTGCAGGTGGCTGAGGATCTGATGCTGCCGCAGTTTGTACTGAAAGAAGAGAAAGACTTGGGCTATTGTACCAAGCACTATAACACAGGTGAGACTTTGTGGGTCGACAGCTGGTCTTAGAACATTCTAACTCCAGTCATGATTCTATTATGGCCCTTCTTTCACCCTCTACGATTCCTCTGACCTCAGGCAAATTCACTTGCATCGAGGTGAAGTTCCACCTGGAGAGACAGATGGGCTACTACCTGATCCAGATGTACATCCCCAGCCTGCTCATTGTCATTCTGTCCTGGGTCTCCTTCTGGATCAACATGGACGCAGCACCAGCACGAGTTGGCCTGGGAATCACCACGGTGCTCACCATGACGACGCAGAGCTCTGGGTCACGGGCCTCCCTGCCTAAGGTGATGGATAGATTCAGTAAGCTTATCAGCTCCGGCCGGGTGGGGGGGCGGTTGTGGGTGTACATTAAACGCAGACCCTCCCTGCAGGTGTCCTACGTGAAGGCCATCGACATCTGGATGGCTGTCTGCCTGCTCTTCGTGTTCGCCGCACTCCTGGAATACGCCGCGGTCAACTTCGTCTCACGGCAGCACAAGGAATTCATCCGGCTGCGTAAGAAGCAGCGGAGACAGAGGATGGTGAGTACCTGAGCCTGCATTGCTCCCCTAAGCCCCCAAGCCAGCACACTGTCTGCAAAGGGCTGGGCTGCTGGGGGAAGCTACCCCTGGAGAAAGTTTACGAGGGAATAGGGTGATAAATGTTTCCCAAGAAACACCACCTGAATATCAGTTGATTTATATTGCTTATGGACATACTCGAGCATAGACACTGGCACATTTGGTGAGGACCGTGGAACTTTACGCACAGGGCCAAGGGATGGGGTGGGGTTACGGTTAGGGTTAGGATTAGGATTAGGGTTAGGGTCAGGGTCTCATAGTCAGCCCTAAATTAAATGCAGCTCCTATGTCAACTTATCAGGTAGAGAAATACTCAGGCAAGTCACCTGGCAGATTAGGACCCTTTAGACTAGAAACATTGCCCTCGTTAAGTGAGTGTATGAAGCTTTAAGATTCAGTTTGCGTTGGCCTGCCAGGCGTAATGCAGATCTTGTGGCAACATTGGACAGTGATCCAATGGGGCAGCATTTTTCTGTAGCAGTAGCTCTCAAGGACTGAAAAGAAACCCCCTCATATGGCATTCTGCTGTGCTGACGGGGCTGGTCCACTTCCCAGATGGAAGTAAAGCACTGCCGTCCTAACAGCAGATCCTGCCCAGATTCCCTGTGGTCCCTCTCCTGTCCTGGAATCAATAGGAATGAGGAAATGAAAGGATAAAACAGTAATTAATGAGCATGTTAGAGCTGAAAATGAAACACTCTCCACAGGAGTCTAGCCATAGCTTCTGTCTAACAAGCTTTTGGAGACTTGGGTTGTCAGAAAGAGATGATTATATTTTTATTTACTTACCTAGCGGGGGTTCTTACCCTGAGCGAACACACGCATAGTCTCAGCTAAACCCAGTGTGCATTCTTAGCTTTCCTCAGGGATAGGGCGGAGGGAGTACCCGTACTCAGACATCCTGATTATGCCGAGTTCGATGTGTCCACAGGTCAGCAAGGGAGGGGTTTGCATATCTCTTCTTTAACCAATCACTGTCTTCATGACATCGTCACACTGGTCTATTTTTTTTTTCAAACGCAGGGCTTTCAGCTTTTTGTGTGGCAGTGGTGTGCAGCTAAGCCTCTGTGCTTGTGACTGGAAGGTTGCTGGTTCAAGCCTTCTTGTCGTTATTATTTTTATTATCGTCATGAAATAAAGATGCATTTGTACATCACTCCGTAAGCCTTTGCATACAAGCATATTCCTATGCTCTGTCTGTTTATAGACAAATATGCATTTGCAATAAAATGATTACCACGTAACAGAAAACACTGCTTTTAATTAATATGATGATGTCATACAATGAAGATTGTGATTGGATAAAGAAGTGAAACACAAGCCCCTCCCTTGTTAACCCAAGGATACATCGAATTCAGCAAAATCAGGACGAGCACCCTTACTCACCTGCTCACACCAGTACGGCATTTAGTATTTACTTGAAACGGCTCAGGTGGATGCATGAGCCATGTTTCTTGCTCCAAAGGCCCAAGTTCCGCCCCCCCCCCCCCTTAAATGCAGTCCTCAATTCAGCTGCAGTCCTTGCTGATGGTCAGAGGTTCCGATTAAGGGTCGAGGATTACACCAACCTGCGCCAGAGCGGCGTCCCAGCACGCTGCAGCTATCAGCCACGAGATCATATTAGGAATGTTAATCGCACTACCGAGGCTCCCAGTGCTCCCACAATGCACTGCACTCACATATCCTACCGACGCAGATCCTCCCCCGACTTCTCTGAACATCATCTGAAGAAAAGTCTAACATTCAGCTTCTTCATACTGCTCCTCTTATGACATGTGGATGTTGTCTCGCTGGCTGTTCCCCCTGGAGTTCCGCTTCACCCCTGGGGCTCAGACGCCACCTCCCGATGTAGCTCATCTCCGTGACATACCTCTATATCCGCACCCCGTTCGATGGCGGTCACCTATCTTTCCTCGGGGGAAAAACAGGTACATTACTCGGTGTCATGGCAACGGAAGACTCTCGGCGGGAATGTGAGACGATGCTTGACAGAGAGTAAGGGGAGTCTAATGGATGGGAACACCACAGCTCAGGCGCCGTGTTTCAGATAGAGCCAGCTGTTGCAGTTGATTGATAAACACTAAATCACAATCATTCTTTTTCATAATGCCGTTATTGACAGCGTCTTCATATTTTTTCCTCCTCCTGCGTGGTTATTTGCTTAGGGGCGTTGACAGCCAATCAGAGGCCCACATTGGTTTGCAGCTTTCTCATAATCTATGGGCTCTGCGTGAGTGAAAGCAGGGGAGGAGTTACCAGCTAATATATGTCAGAAACAAGACAGAGACACGGCAGGGCAGGCGGAGGACAGCAGTGATGGAGAGAGAGGGCGAATCTGCCCTGAAGGCCTCTTACTGCTGGAGAAGGTCCCTTATCTTCAATAGATGGGTAAAGTCCTGAGAAGTACAGGTCAGCATTCGGTGAAGGACTGTCTTTCATGCAGAGCTGCTCACTCTTCACTGGATACATCTTTATACTTTGGCCTGCACTGAGATGGGCGTAGGTGATAGTGGCTCGTGCATGCAGCCTGGGTGTATCTGTAATGGGTAGTTCATATGAAGTTCCTCAGCTGGGATTTGGAACACACAGCCCCAAACCTACCTGGATAAAATGCCTCATTACAGTGGATATAAATGTGCCCACGGTGAAGGGAAGGGAGTGGGTGGGTTTCAGCCCACAGGAAGGAAACAACGTGCACTGAGCAGTCTAATTGCCTCCTATCTGTCTGCCACCATCACCACTCCCGCAGAGTTCCTGGTCTAACCAGCCTTGAACCCGATCCACCTGCCCCACGTAAGTGCTGCCCCCTACAGGGCTAAATTGGCACTGCACAGCCAGCACTTCTATCCCTTTAACTTCCCACCAAACACTCCAGGCCCACTCTTTCTTCAGTCCTATGGTCTGATCCAAACCAAGAGCTAAACCAGAACCTCCCTCTGCCTGTATATTAAAACATTAGCTGGATATTTCCCAGAAATTGCTCCACTCTTACCTCTATTTATGTACTCATTAATAGTGGTAAACCTCAGTGTCTAGTTTTAAGAAAAAAATAAGAAAAAAGAATTCTCCATGTGCATCAGCCACCCTGTCTGGATATTAATTAGCTAGCTGATTAATATTAGGTTTTTAAAGTATTGAAGTACATTTAACCTCTTAGCCCCTGGTATCGCTCCTGTTGAGTCATTACTAATTTTTTAAGGTTAATGCTGATGATTTTAAGGTGGCCCCCCCATGACTCTGAGTTCCTGCTGACAAATGGGGCCCCAGCTAAAGCCTTTTGCCTTACATGGTTACTTTTGTAGTTAAAAGGCCCCCTGAAGCATAAAACAATATCCACAATGCCTGGGATTGTCTCCACCAAACAAAGGGGCTGCACCACAGTCACCCAGTGGAAAGCTCGCTCACCGGCCCAGAGGGGGAGGATCTCTTATCTGTAGCGAGATGCGTGGTAGCATTTAAGATGGGGCAGGAAGGGAAAATAAGGCCTAAGCCTGAACAGTGACTGTCATTCTGCTTTGACAGCCACATCACCAGGCGTGCAAGGCTTCTGAATAGCCATGTAGCCAGGTAGACAAGTCTCCAGATATCCATGTAAGCAGGTATCTGAGTTTATAGATATCTCCTACCTCGTTTCCCCCAACACGGAGCTGGTGCCGGTGCTGCGCTGGTTCTCGCTTGGTTCCTTTTGATAACCAGCCCGTGTTTCTACCAGTTTCAAAAATGAACAGAACAGAAATGTTACTTAGGTGGAAGTAAAAGTAAAGGTCAATCTATAGTTAGTTTTTTGGACTTATCTTGCTGAACCGAAAAAGAAGTTCACATTTAGACAAATGCCCACAATAAGAAGAGTTAAGGGTCTGTGCAGAATTACTCTGCTTTATTTGTTTTATTTAAAAAAAAAAAAAGTAAATTGTTAAATGAGCTTGAAATTGCATTGCTTTGCTGGTTGCTCAGGAGTCTTAAAGTGGCCAGATTTCTCACATTATTTTACATTCAGTAGTGTGATAGCATACAGTTATAAGGCTAGACGGAGAACCCCCCCCCCCCCCCCGTCATAACCTACTGTATAGTCTTTGGGTCAAAACTCCGGTATTGCAGGATCCAGCACCTGGTTTCTGGTAACCTAATGTGAGCCTCTCTGTTTAGGAGGATGACCTCGTACGGGAAAGTCGCGGCTTCTACTTCCGTGGCTATGGACTGGGACATTGTCTACAGGTGAAGGATGGCTCAGCCATGGAGGGAACCACCATGTTCACGCCCCCCCAGCCACCGCCCCCCGTGCAGATGGCCTACGACAGCGAGTCGGTCCGCAAGCGCTTCGTGGACCGGGCCAAGCGGATCGACACCATCTCCCGGGCCGTCTTCCCGCTGAGTTTCCTAATCTTCAACATCTTCTACTGGATTACTTACAAAGTGCTGAGGCATGAAGACATTCATGCCGCTTTATAAGGAAGGTGGGAGGAGGGCAGATTTCCCAGCATTCACAGCTCCTGCGGTATTTATTGTCATTGTTACTTTTTTCTCAGAGCCAAAACTGTGGGACAGAGCGAGGACAAACTTTAAAACGTTCATATTCGATGTATTGATGAGGCCTGTTTTATATTTCCGGACAAATACACTGTCAGCTGTACGTGTGTGTGGCACAGCAACTCCAAGGTCACAGAGTAAGATTACCGGCCCAAACAGCGAGCAGCTATGGATCTGAATGAGGGTGGCATTCTCTGGACGGTGAACTCAAAATTAATGTAAAGCCCTCGTTTTCCTGCATTTTTGTAAAAAAAAATTAAAGTTCGCCATTGTCTGCTGTTTCCTCTTGAGTCGACAGTCTGCCATGGGCTAAAGGTCTCAGTTGCTTGGAAAATGTTCTCCAAAAAATTCCCTCCTAACCTGTGGACAAAACAAACTTGAATTTCATCACATGCTCTCCCAGACTGAATGTTTTTCTACACTTTTGAAATGCCAAACGATCAGATTGCAACTGGGAAGATGTACTTCATATTTCTGAATATCCATTGGGTGATGATGTTGTTTTAATTAATTGATAACACACACACACACACACACACACACACATATATATATATATATATATATATATATATATATATATATATATATATATATATATATATATAT